AACAGATCGTGTTTGGATTGATATTTTCTGACACGATTAATAAACTGGTTGACACGAACACGAATTGCCACCCTTACTCTCAATAACAACTAGGGGTGTAAGAATTGAGCCCGAACCCGAAAAACCTGCCCGACCCGACTAAATAGGTTTTTTTTCCGGATTAAAATGGTCCCAACCCACACCGTGCGGGTTGGGGGCGGGTCGGGCATTCTTGAACCCGCAATGCCCCGACCCGGCCGTTTTGAAGCCTGTAGGCCTAAATCTAATTCCTAAATCCCTCGTCCTCACCTCAGTCTCTCCTCTCCTCTGTTGTCCTCGCCTCTTGCCTCCCTCCTCTCCTCTCGCCTCTCGCCTCTCGCCTCACTTCACTCACGCATGCCTCACCTCGCCTCTTCCTTCTCATTCTTCGTTCCACTTCACCCTAAATCCCTCATCCCTAAATTACTCGGCGTTCCTCACCGTTCCTCGCCCTTTCTCGCCATTCCTCGCCGTTCCTCGCTGTTCCTCGCCATTCCTCGCCGTTTCTCGCCGTTCCTCACACTCGCCGTTCATCGTAAACCACCGTTACTCTTCTTCTTCCAGATTTTTTTTATTTTATTTTTTGATTTATGATTTATCTCTGAATCAGAGCAACCCAAACATAAATGGGTCTGTTTGTTTGATTTCGTTTTTGGTTGATTTTCATTTTTCACTTGACGTCATTTTTGGTTCCAGTTGCCCTGGAGGTGGAGCTCACGGCGGCGACAGTTTGATTCTTGCTTCTTGCTTCTTGCTTCTTCCAGTTTCATCAGGTAAGTTCCTTCTTGCTTCTTCCATCAGAGAACTGTTTGTGAGAAACTAATTCTGGGACTTACGTGAAACTTGCTTTGGTTCTGTTCATGCTTACAGTATTTAGTTATGGAACTTTTATTGCATTTCTACAATGAATGAGTAATGTTATGCTTACAATGTGAAGCCTTCAATGTGTCAAACTTTGATATGATATATGCCATTTGTTATTTATTGAGGCTAATAAATTCTGTTGAACAACTAAACTTTTGATAAGAAAAAAACAAAGAAAATACATGTGTTAGAGAGTAAACTGATAGGAAAGAAAGTGAAAGAATATATGTGTGTGTGTGTGTGTCTGTGTATTAAAAGTGAGAATAAAGATGTGAGATGGAGGAAACAAAATATAATGGCAAGGGAAACAAAGTAATACAAATACATGAGCCATGTGGTTGATGGCTTGATGCTCCTGGAGGTGGAGCTCACGCATGGCTATTTGTTCTTGCTTTTGCCACAGATTTTGAATTGGGGAATTAACTAAATGTACACTAAGATGTGTTTGTTATTGCGTGTTATAGTTTAAGATATGTGTGGCTGGAATACAGATTTTTATAATTGATTTATGTCATAATGTATTATCTTGTATGCAATTTAAACACGTCTCTGGAAATTTGAATGAGAAAAAGTTATTCCTTGGCCTTCGTCTGTCCATGGCCTCTTTATGGCTCAGATTATTTGGTCTTGAATCTTTCTAGTCAAACCTTTAAGCACTTAAGTTATTGTTATCCTTTTTTTTTTATTTCTGGAACTTAGAGATGATGTTGGGTCGTTTTATATGAACCAAAGCTTGGAAGTTGAGTTCAGACCATTAATCAAAGAATAATGGTAGGGATACAAATATACTTACGTGCATGTGATATGTCATTTCACTTATATGTTAACTCATCACTATTAATTTAACACTTATTTTACTAATTTGTGTGCTAGATAGAAAAATTTATCATCCACCCCACAAAAATTTCTGAAAGCACTTGCAAGTCCTCTGCTGAAACAGAAAGTGTCTCTATGCCTAAAGATCCCATTACCTTGCCCACTCCCACACCCAGCCCTACCCCTATACCTAATTTAGGCACTAAAATTGAAAACGAAAAGAGGAGGGAGACAGTAAAAAGAGGAAGAAGTCACAAAAAAGTCTCCTATTTAGGATCATTTCATTGTTCTAAACTTGATTCTGATGATTTTTTTTGTTATGTTTTCTTCTCAAGATTTGTCAAATTCTATTGCAAGACATGAGGGGCAAGTTGGGAATGAAGGTGCTATTATTCTGGATTAAACAGTTTGGAGTGGACTAAATTTCCTATTTTGCGACTATCTTTATATGGATTGTCTATTTTTATATGGACTGTTTATTTTGGATTAAACTGTTTATTTTATATGGACTATTTTGCTTCTTAAGATTTTATTTCATCTCCTTATTGTTTATGCTTTTGGACAGTTAAAAGAGGTATGAAGTCATAGATTAAAATTAGTTTTCACCAACCCGAGTAACCCGACCCTACCCGAGGTCACCCGAAAGGTTGCGGGTTTGTAGATTTAAGAGAGTGTCGCGGCCCAAAGTTTTCTCAACCCGCACTGATCGGGTCGGCTCAATTTTTTAGTTCAACCCGACCCTACCCGGCCGATTTACACCCCTAATAACAACTGGACATTTTACCTAATTAGTTATTCAAAAGAGGTTTGCATATTGTTCCTTCTCAAGGGTTCAACTCTAAAAGATCAAGCCCATTATTGTATACTAGATGAGTAAGCTTTTTCCTTATAAGATATGAACTTTAATTTCTGAAAAAACAAGACGTATTGGCATGGTCAATGGAGAAAAGAGAGAAGATAATAAATCGTCTGGCCATTGGTCAGAATTAGGAGTATAGATTAACTATTAAGAGGATTATAATGAAACCGGCATTAAAGACGGACATCTGCAAATTAAGCAACGAGCAACACATTAATTTTAAACCTTATGTTAAAGTAATTAATTAAGTACAACTATCCACTCTAAAATATTGGGCCTATGGCAACGAATTATCTTAGAAATGCATTTAAAAATGAAGCTTTGTCATGGCATGAAACCATGACTCATGATATTTATTTTTTATAATGTAAATAGGATATTCGTTCACAAAATAGGGAAGAGTCCGGCTTGTCTGATTTGTTGTAATATAACCAAAAACGACCCTGTTTCCATTGGCTTTAGACTCAACATGCCCCTACAAATGTTTCATTTTTGCATATAGTGATGGAGCCAGAAAATTTTTACCGTGAAACAAAGATTAGAGATTTTTTTTTCCATTATTCTTTCTAAATTTTGAGTGAAGACAATTATAATTTTTCTTATATTTTTAGAGCGTAACTAAAATTTTTTAGAAAGGTAAAGCATTAAAATTCTAAAATTTAAGTGTGGGCACATGCCCCCATGAATTCACCACCCCGTGACTCTACCACCGGTTGCATAAATTCGGACCGTACATTAAACAGTAATTTGTAATTTGTGTTGATTTACGGATTATATTCTAGAAAATATTACACTAAATCATATGCCTCCATGAAACTTGATACAATCACGGGGCCTTTCCCAGTTTCCACCTAGTATATCTCTTTGGAATAAACATAATATAAAAACATAAAATTTCTCCTAGGAATCAATCAGTAAGGACCTTGACATAGCAAAATTAAAAATGAAAATCTGCGAGTCCAAACCGTATGAATAATTAGCCTATTGCGTACCTTTCTTTTTTCCGAGCTAAAATACCATTGAATAGAAGAAACTAATGATCAATCAAGTTAGAGTTTTGATGTATAATCTAAAAGACAACTTGTGTCTTTTCCTCTTTTGATGTTGTATGAGAAAAGGCCACCTAACCGTTGAAGTCATATCGTCGGCATGTGTTCATGTGCCGGGTACAAGTTTACACGATACATTAAAGATATAATTGCTTTAACTGAAAGAAGAATGTACATATATATATATATATATACACATTTGCTTCTGGGAGCTAGTTTTTGTTGGTATTAATAAATTAATGGCGCCTGATGATATAGCTGACTTGAGAACACACGGTAGTTAGTAGGAAAATAGATTCTATTATAATATGAATATATGTACGTATATGTATATATATATATATATATGTTGTTGGGATATTGAATTTGTCTTGACTTCGCAAACAATTCTACCCCTTCCCCTAACTTTCCACCAGATAAATGATAATTCCAACGACAATAAATAAAGTAGTATAGTCGTATAGCAACGCATGAATAAATAAACAAAACACTTTATGCCACAATCCGTAAAGACCCTTTACTCTACATTCTAATGATTAGAAAGTTGATCGTCCCAAAAGAAAAGAAAAGAGAACAAAAATCAATAATAATAATAATAATAATAATAATAATAAGAATTCCTATTTGTTTATTATGATAGGGAAACATCTTTGTAATAATGAAGGCCGTGGAAATAGTCATTTCGCCATAATGAAAGTCTGTGTACGAAAACATGGTACTTACCAAGCATCATCCTACATTCATTCATTCATTCGTCCCCAACTAACTCATGAGACAACTAAATCAGTTTTGGCAGCATTAGCAAACAAATATGTCATCAATGTTTTCCTTTTTCTTTACTTATATCCCCTCTCTAACCAAGTGAAGACACCTGTGCAATTTGGCCCATCCATTTGCTTTCGTACAATGACAGATGAACTATCGTGGATGCTTTCAGTGAAAATTACAGAGAAAAAATTTCGAGGACAATTTCAAGCCTTCAACTAATTACATGAATTAAAGTTATTTTTCTTTTTTTTTTTTTTCCTTCCCTTTGTAATTTTCTAACCATTGCCTAAGTTAGTTGTTGCAATAATACATTTATGATTTTCCTTGAGAAAATCAAGACGAAAAATTAAAATAAAGAATGAATGAAAACACACATCTTAAAATGGTATGTACTTGTCGTATGATCTTAACCGTTTTTTATAGCGTCATTCTTAGAAAGTATCTCATGAGTGACACAATCGTTACACTTTTTTTTTCCCTTTTTTTTTTTTTTTTAATTCAATACGATCACTTATCGTTCATTTATAACTCGGGCCAATCGTTTATTTATAATCTAAAATTACGCGGAAAATAGAGTCAACGAATTAAAAATTGAAAGAGAGGCAAAATACCGAGCCTTAGGGGGGTGACTTTGCTTTGGGAAAAATATAAGAAGTAGGCATGTCCCATGCTTTACATTCACAACTACATGTCTGTCACACGACATATCTAATATTAAAAGTGCCTTATTATTTACTTGTCTCATGTCCCTCCCCTTATAAATACACATCCTAACCTTCACTACCTCATCACTCCACAGTTTTCCAAATACAACATTCTTTTCTCCTTATTGAAAAAGACCTCTCTTATTCTTGGTCCACTTCATTGATATATATATAGATTTTTTTTTTTTTTTTTTTTGCCCAAACACTTCATTGATATTTTCTTTCCCCTTATCTGCAATAATCCGACGATCATGGCGGCTATGTTGGCACTTTTCGTCACGGCGTTTGCCGCCATCTTGAGCTCCTCCGTCGCCGATCCGGACTTGCTTCAAGACGTTTGCGTCGCCGATCTCAACTCTGGTACTGACTCCAATACTTTTTCTTGCTCTTTTCCTTTAATTTGAACTTTAAACAACCAAATTCAGTAACTCTAAGGTAAAAAGAAGTAGCTCAAATAGAAACAGTTAATAGCTTTTGGAAATTGGAACTCAATTATTGTTTAGACTTGAGAAGATGAATTTTTCTCACTTTTGTTTCTTTTCTTTCTGTTTCTTGTTTCTAAACTGTAACTACTAATCAAGTCTTCTTCTTCGTCTTCTTTTCAATTGGAAAGTCTATGAATCGCTAAAAATAATCTCATTTCCACACAAATTCCTCAAACAGATTCATAATTCAATCCAAAACCTTCTTAATTTTCCAATAGTCAAACAGAGGTGAAAGTCTGGTCTATTGGTTATAATGACAAAATTGCTTCTAAGAAAGTACTTACAAAAATTTTCTCGGGAACCAAACAGAGGTTAGAGTCAACGGATACGCGTGCAAGAGCTCAGCGAACATAAGCGCGGACGACTTCTTCTCCACCATACTCGCGAAGCCAGGAGCGACAAACAACACCTTCGGATCGCTGGTGACGGGAGCGAACGTCCAGAAGATTCCAGGCCTCAACACTCTCGGCGTCTCCCTCTCCCGCATCGACTACGCTCCCGGCGGCCTCAATCCGCCCCACACGCACCCACGCGCCACCGAGATCGTCTTCGTCCTCTACGGAGAATTGGACGTCGGATTCATAACCACCGCCAACGTCCTCGTCTCGAAGACGATAAAGAAGGGAGAGATCTTCGCGTTCCCGAAGGGATTGGTTCACTTCCAGAAGAACAACGGCAAAGATCCCGCCGCCGTAATCTCCGCCTTCAACAGCCAGCTGCCGGGGACTCAGTCGATCTCCACCACGCTCTTCGGTGCGTCGCCACCGGTGCCGGACAATGTTCTGACGAAGGCGTTCCAGATTGGGACCAAGGAGGTTCAGAAGATCAAGTCCAGATTTGCGCCCAAGAAGTAGAGTACTGTAAAAGTCTGGAGTCGCTGAGATTTGTATTTGTTTGTTTGTGTGTTTGTGTATTGTGTATTTTGTACTTTTGTGACGTGTTTTGGTGGCCTTTTCTTGGGCTTCTTTTGTTTAGGTTTATTACTTACGATTCAATATTGGGGGAGATTATTGGAAAAAAATCATAATGGGGTCAGTGAAAATGGAAAATGTTGTAATAACTTCTTTGGTATGAGAAAATACAGGAAAAAAAATGTTATTCACATTCTATTTACTTCTTTCTAATTATAGGAGATTTTTACGGTACAATTTGAAAAAATAAATTAGCGTTAAATTTTTATTTTTAATCATCATATTTGTATAAAAAATTATACTTTGATATATTATCTATTTATTATTTTGATGTGATTTTAATCAGATATAATAGTTAGAAACATATATTACCTGTAGGAGACTTTACAGATAATAGAACTATTTTGATATTATATGGGGAAAAAAAAGCATATGTTGCTAATTACTGTTATTTTGGACGAGCATAATTTCACATGACAATTTTAACCATGATTATCTTTTAGCATTTCACCTTCCTGCATGTAAAAGCTAGTCAAACGGTAGGTAAGTAGAGTTAAGTTTGCATCTACCTTGCCGCCAAATTAAGTGACAGCCGTGTCTTTTGGTTGAGCTTTTGCCTTCTCTACCGTTATTATAACTTAAAAATGATAACTAGAGCTTTTGGTAGAGCTCAATGAATGTGTATGTTATTGCCTAGCTGTATCTCCTTCCTCAAGTTGGAGTTTACCTCTTTAATCATTAATTTTAAAAATAAAATAAAAAAGTATACTTGGTGAGCTTGAAGGAGTGGATGGCGAAAGAGATTACAATTTACAGATAAAATATTGTCTTTTAACATATTATTTTATATTAATATCTAGTTTAGGTGTCCCGTTGAGACAGTCGGAACTATTATTTAAATAAACAGTGACTTATTATTGTAGTTTCTATTTAGTGATAGTATATAAAAGCACACTTACCAACAAGATTCTCCCACTTTTGTTGTTGTTGTTGTTTTTTTTTGTTGCTTTCTTTCCTTTTTCTTTTGAATAGCCCACCAAGGTGACAACTGACAAGCAAGGATGGGCCAATTGATGTCTTTTAAGATAACGTTAACGTTCAAATTCTTGCAACGCATAGAATATTGGTTTCCACCTACATCTTATCTCTCCTTTAAGCTAAAGAATACAAATACTACAGAGAGAGAGAGAGAGAGAAATAGAGTAAGATTGAATGAAATTGCAAATGCATAGCAACGTGACCGCCAATTTAAACCGGAAACTTCAAAATAACGTTCCTTGACAAATCGACCCATGTTTTTGTGCAGGTGAAAATGGCAGCCTAACCAAAGTTCTAAGCTGAGAGTGACACCTCTTTTTTTTTTTTGGTTAAATCTCAAAATGGGTTTTCACCAAACCGAAAACTAAAGGGTTTTGTTCATATTTCAAAATAAAGCAAATAATATTGATGGCGATTGATGATTAATCATTTATGGCATCGTGTTACGAATATCCAAATAAGGAGAGTAAGAGAGAATACAGTTTGTATAACGTAATGATAAAACGAGTAAAGATACATTTTTTTTTTTTTTACTCTGTTTCTCAAAATTAATATTGGACTATGTGATTCGAGGCATAACCTAACCATAAATTTTCACTCCCAACTTCAATGTTGAGGTTAACAATTTGATTTTTCGAACTCCGTAAAAAAATGAATATTAGTAATTGGACAGTTGTGGCATCAACCGGTGTATAGCTCATCAACGATCATGATTTATAATTAGAGTTGCTTGTTATTGGTTTATCAATTTAGGGATTTCATTAACAATGAAAAGATTTAGAGAGTAATAGAGACAAAAGTGTAAAATCATGAAAAACGCAGGAGGCACACGTACATATATCTTAAAAAGAAAATATAAGTTTTTTAATCAAGAACAAATGTAAAGGTGTAACGGGTTTGGTCACTTCCTTCCATGTTCTAAGCTCACAATAGAGGTTGGACTTGATCTCAAATCCTTAAACTCAAGGTTGGGAAATTTTACCAATATAACTAGGTGATTCTATCATACGTATTACACATTATATAGAAGCAGAATGATTAGTGTAGTCTTTATGGTATCTCAGTAACATTGTTATTATGTCTTGTAGACTAGTCATCATGGTATCTCTCACTAATATAAAAAGTCCACGACCATTTTTTTCTAGAATTGACCCTTAAAATTTAATAGGAAATTAATATTGTCTCTTTGTTCAGTATTAACGTTTTATTTAAGTTTTTAAGTTGATCTATTTTAATAAAGAGTCAATAATAGAAATATCACTGTTATAAATGAGTAATTTTGACTTTTTTTCCCTGACTCATCCATCTCTGCATTTGAGCTGCTCATGCAACGTACAAAGTACTTTAGTTTGACAGTGGCTTCAAGTTCAATTTTTAACCATATTCCTAATTAACAAAAAAATGTGGTCAACTTTAAAGATATTTTGATCAAATGTTTAACTTTTACATAACCTTGAGATGTTAATTTTTAACCAATATGGAATTAATATATGTAAAATGTTACAACGCATGCTTATCGTTCTTGGGAGCAAAAGAAAACAATTAAGAAGCAACAATTGTTATTATCAGAGAGATTTCAATTAGGAGCCTCTATGAAGTAAATAAATAAAGAAACAATTATCAAGAGAGCTTGCGCTGGAACTAGTAAAAACACGAGCTTGAGCTGAAATTAGCCCTTCCAAGAGGGCTATATTTAGCATTTGATTTTCTCACAAGTCAGAGCCATCAATGAGTTGCTTTTCTGATACACATAAGTTAAAGATTCCTAGCCCACAAAAAAAAAAAAAAAAAAAAAAAAAAAACCCCAAAAACAAAAACTTGGTCATTGGTCATGCAACTGAAAACAAGCATAAACGTGATGGCACATACATATTTACATTTCAAAGCCAATATCGATGGGTCATGGGACTGGTGAGTACATATAAAAACTAACATTAACGTTCCAAAGTACAGCGTTAGACTCTCTCTTGCTGTCTCTCTCTCTCCTTTGCAAACCTTGTAAAGTTGGATTCTTCATCATTTTCCCTCTTTTATGAAGGCCCGGGACTTGTGGGCTGCAGCAAGTTCAACAGATATGATGAAGGTTGACTTGCCTGCTTCCTTGAGATACTGTACGTCGCCATTCATGAGCTTCACCAGCTTTCTGCTGATCAGCAGGCTGATGCCCTCCTCAGATACGTCTCCATCGGTTCCAAACATCTGGTTCAGCAACGATTCCGGTATCCCCGAACCCGTGTGTGTTAACCTGGTCCAAGTAATCAACTCCATATAACAAACCACAAATGATGTTGGGTAAAAAAAGTTTAGCACTCCATGTTTGCGTGCACAACTTCCCATCTCTCAACTCAAACAAAATGATGACTGCTTTTCATATTTTTGGTATAACGTTCATTACGTGCATATGTGTATACGTTATTAGCATTATCAGTCCCTACACTATCAACATTGTTTCACTTTGATCCCTGAACTTTTCATTGGCAAATTTCCCCTCGAACTTTTTTTTTGGCAAATTTGGTCCCGATCATAAATTGACAACTGATTATAAATTTTAACAAAGGTAATCATGTCTCTGTAATAACTTGAAATTTTATAGAATTAGTTACATCAAGTATAAAATGTTCTCTTCACTGCCCTTAAAAACCCTTGAAATTTAGAGAATTTTGAACCTAATGTAAACTATTTTTTTGTAAATTTCATTTATCATGCGATAAAGGATGTGATTAGCTTTGTTATTTTCAGAAATTTATAGTCAATTTGACCGCCACAGACCAAAACTACCAAAAAGCACAAGTTTCGGAAACAATTTGCCAAAAACAAATCAAAGATCAAAATGACACAATGATGATAGTTCAGGACAAACTGAATCAGCGCTAATAACCAATTACAACCAATTATAGATAAGGAAAGCTTAAGCAAGTACCTTAGCTCTAGGCGCACAAGATGAACAGACTCTCCCAAATGGTCTTTGGTCAAATTGGCAGCAATGACAATTTGGCCTCCATTTGGTGTAAAGTTGACTGATATGAGTAGGAAATCAGCCAAGACTTGTTGAAGTCTAAGACTATCACCATATAAGGTGTCATTCGTGGTCTCTTCTGATGCATCTTCAACTAATCTGATTCCCTTTGCTTTGATTTTCATCATGACTTGGCTGGTAGCTGCAACCAGTATCTCATGCAGAGTGAACTCAACCATTTCTAGATCTGAATAGCTGTTTTCGGAATCAAGATAACAAAATAGAAATGGTAAATGATCTCGTCAGAATGAAGAACTGAAAACATAAATACAAAAACAAAAAAAAACAAAAAAAAAACAAAAAACCATCTTTCTACTTTATGCAACAAGAAAAGCCCAACAATACTCGAGGAAAACTATAAAAAGCGAATTAAAAGTTCACTATCAATCTCTCCAAGCATCTAAGCTGACCTTAATAGGGTAATCGAATTTGACAGCATTTAAGTTGTTCTAAGAAACAGATCAAACAAAGAGTAACCACCTAACCAAGCCAACCTTTGTACGTCTATGAAGCACAACCTTAAACGTTAAGAAATTAATAATTGCACGTATTCCTCAATAATTACTAATATAATCATACCCTTCTATGATGTTATCAAGATCAGAGTCGTCGAGAATCTTGCTGAGCTGACGCTGGCATTGGGCACTAGTATGCAGAAGCTGTTTCTGTTCTAATCCCAACTCAGTACCCTCCATCATTTTCCTAGAGAAAATAATTCCAGATAATGGATTACGGATCTGCCTCTTAATATAAGCTAATGCTTTCAATCTCTTTGTAGCAATTTGTTCCATTAAGCGCTGGACATGAAGCGCTTGCTGCAGCTCTAGGCTAGCAAGCTGCAAGAAGCAAAAGACCCCAGTGACCGCACCATCCCTATCCAATTTCTTACTCACACAGAGTAAGCACTCGATGTATTTTCCATTCCGGGCAAAAAAACCAAAAGGAACCTTTTCAGATTCCTGACCTGTCATCGCATTATTGAGTACAACACCAAGGTTCACGAAAGCTTCTTGATTCTTGAGACGACAGCACGTCATGCTGACCCCGAAAACTTCTCCCAAAAGCATTTTGTCGATTACCTCTTCCCGTTTCCAACCGGTTATCTTTGTCATTGCTGGATTCCACTCAGAGCACCAGCCAAATTCATCAGCACCAAATATTGGAGGTATCAATGGATTTCTGTTTTGTACAATTGCTTTGTAATCACCCTCAATTCGAGTGAACTTGTCCATCATAGTCTTCTGAGCAGTAAGATCTTGGGCCACAAAACACACTCCAACGACATTTCCGTTAAGATCCCTACTTGCACAAGCATTCACTACCAAGCTGATGGGGCCAGAGTCGCTCCTAGAACCATGTGTTTTAATCTCAAATTGAATGTTCCTCTCCTCTTTACCTGATAAGAAAGCATAAGCAAACTGTCATTGATCACCCATGTTTGGGGAAGAAAGCACTCAGAAACTATAACAAATCGAGTGTGGAAGAAGGAAAAACAATGTTCCTCCTTTGCAGCTCATGCTAAACGTGAGCATGCTGTAGTCACCTTATACTGATTGCTACTGTATGCAAGTGTGTGCGTGTGTAAGAACGATTCTAAAGGTACACAAAATGTAAAAATGATTTTGTTGTACACAAAATGTAAAATGGGACCCATAGGTACCTTGCAATGCCAGCTCTAACATCACTCTGACCACCTCGGTTGATGAATCTTCCACAAGTGTCAATAAATGTGCTCCAATTGCTTGCTCCACGGGAAGACCAGTCAGGTCAGAAATTTTTGTGTTCCACCCATTGACCACTCCGTCAATGTCTACTGCTAAAATTGGCACTGTGGCTGTCTCGATCAACCTGACCATCTCACTCGTCACAGCTTCAAGTTCTTGCATCCCCTCAAATTTTAGGTCAGTGAGCCTTGTATTGATAGTCATGGTGTTTGAATCCAAGGCTTCAGTATCTTTGAATGCATTCCTCAGAATAAGCTGCAAAGAATGAATTGCGTCCATCTCATAGTCCTTCCAAGGAAAGCTCCTTGTCTTGACAACTTCTAGAAAAGCCTTAAACGATGATCGTGGATGCATCTTCCTTCCATCATCCTTCTCACCAGGCTCATGTTTCGCACCACCCCATTGGATCTCTGCAGCAGTGTGGGACCGGAACCAGAAAATCATGTCCTTGGATGTTATCCTCACTGCTGCCATCCCACATATTACATCATCTAGAGCATGAGCCCCAGGATAGCCCGCATCATACAAGCTATCTGTACTCAAACCAGTGGAGTCCATGTGGTGCTCAGAGAGCCACAAGACTATGTCATGAAGCTGGGAATCACTTGGAGCAATTCCAAGTCTCCATACCTTGTTTCTGTATAATAGAGCAGCCCCATCACATTTCACTAGATCCATTATATTTGGGCTCTGTGACACGATACCCAAGGGTGCATCACGCATCAGCATATCGCACAATAGAGTCTGCGTCCGCAAAATGTTCTTCTCAACAATCTGATTTTCTAACTCTAATTCCTTATTCACATGGATGGCAAATACTTGAGCTAGAAACTCACAGGCATACCGGAGAGGGAAAGGAACAAATCTCGGACTTGTGTTGTGGCACACAACTAAACCCCAGAGTCTCTTTCTCTTTTGTGGCTGCGAAGAGTTGGGGCTGTCATCGTCATCATCTCCCTCATTGACTACTACTGCCATGACAAGAGAAGCAATAGAATTCATGTTATCCATGTACTGTAAATGGCAACTGTGTGGAGCCCTTAAAGTTGAACCACACAAGGTTAGATCAAACGGAAGCTTCTCATCCTGAAACACCTTAACATGTTTTGCATTACAATCAACTATCATGCGAACTTTATTTTTCATAAATAAAAATCTTGCAGCTTGAGGAATATCAGTGGCTGGGTAATGCAAACCCAGATACGGCTCCAGACCAGGTTTTGTTATTTCGGAGACCACCTCCCCGTGATCGTCCTCGTGAAATTTATAGGCCATCACCCTGTCATAGCCAGTGAGTTCAAAGACCTCTTGGACCATTGTATCACAAAGCCTTTCCATGCTCCCGCTAGGCAAAGATTGCAACCGCGTAATTGCTTTAGCTGCTAGTTTGTATGACTGCAGCGCTCCAGCAGCTGTCATGGGAACTTCGTAAGGCTTAACTGGCTCAAAGTCAATGATCAAGCTACCAGTTACGCGATGTACAATCGCGTAAAAGGGCTTTCCTGAGGTCTTGCAATGAACTAATATGGGATTTAAGAGAGAAACATCTCCAAATCCCAAGGCCTTTTGCAACGCAGAGGCACTGGGAGCAGTAAAAATTGTCCTCACATCAGTTCCAATGCCTAGAACAGGGTGATCCCCGACACTTGGGACGGCATGACTGACCATGGTCAGCATTTCCGGAGCATTCTCACTGTATGCAATGACCTTCAAAGTTTTCTCATCTAATGCTAGCAAGCACCCAAATGGCTGGATCAACTTTCCTTTCTGTATGTGATGCAGATATGCAGTCGTTACTTTGTCAGACCTTGGTTGTTGATCTGCAGAAGTCGAATTGCTTACACGAATTGAGCTCGAGTAGTCAAAGGAACTACCCGTCTCCTCAAACTCTGCATGAAGCTTTGCATCAACAGTTGTTTGAGCAACAATCCTAGCACTGTGCCTCGATCGCCCCGAGTTGCTAGATGAATGGCTGGGTCTTGAAGTAGACATTTGTCACTGAAAATGGGAAAACCAAAAGAAACGGAAAGAATAAATTTGAAGTACAAATGTCCGACATGAAACAAATGAACAACGTGCTGATTTGAAAATCAAGTACAAGTCTTTTCTTGTCTTTTATCTTTTCAGTTTTTTTCCTCCAAAATGGTAGCTAAACTTGAGATGCCCATCATCAAACTTTGGCACTAGAAAGCCAATTTTCAATATGTAACAGAAACACACTAAACATCATTTACATCAACCTTTCCGAAGTAATAGTCCCAGATACTTATGGTCCAAAAGTTTCACCCAAGAACACACTCAATTAAGCAATCATATATAAACACACATAAACCACAGATGGTCAATTAGTCAGGCAAAACATGTTTCTACAAACAAATCATGAACTTTCCAAACAATACAAAAAATACAACACAATTTTCAGTATCACAACCCCGGAACGAAAAAGCAAAAACTAAACCTTGCTCAAAGTCAAAAGTACGAACTTGGGAATCTAAAAACAGCTAATTACATAGGAAAACCAAAATGGGCAAAGGAAATCGAAACGATTACTAACCTTGTAAAGCTCAAGAAGCAGAAGCGGCAGCAGAAAAGCAAAAAAACAAAAAACAAAAACAAAATGCCCAATTCACTTCGGATCCAAAACCTCCCCAAGTTTAACAAAACTGGGAAAAATAAGAATAATAATAAGCAAGTTAAAAAGGTGGGAAGAAGCAAAGAAATTCCCGACCGTGCCAACACAAGCTCCCAATCCCATATCTCCTGGAAAACCCACAAGATATCGATCACCGCCTTTCCTGTCTGTGGACCCCCCAAGCCACTCCTCTCCCCATCATCAAGCCTCGTGCATAATAGTTAAGATGTTGAAACAACCGCCTTAAAACAATAAAATAACCCAAAAAAAAAAGGAAATGACCATTAAAATTGGGTTTTACCGTAACTTGAAGAAAGATAGTCAATTTGGGGGTGGCAGAAAATCCAAAAACTGGGTTTTTTTTTTATTGGGGTTTCCAAAGATGGATAACAGGAAGAACAGCAGCAGCAGTAGTAGTAGAAGCACAATCTGGGAAAGTCGTCGTCATGACTGAAGTCGACTTTTCCGGTTTAAACCAGGAGCTTTTAGGTTTTAAAACTGGAAACAAAATCTAATCCTGGATTATTGGCGTGTTTGTAGAGGTTGGTTTGTTTTGTTTTTGGCATCAATGATTAAGGGGATGTTCAGAGACAAAATTTAAATTTGAGTTATAATTTTATTTAAATTTATATTTTTTTATAAAATTAATTTAAATTTAAATTTAAATTTGAGTTTAGGGTTAAATTTGAGTTTAAAGTTTCATTTATTTTGCTGATTCAAGTTTAGAATTCGAATTTTGCTACAGTAAAAAGCTCTCACAAACAATCACATCTGATTTTTTTACTACGGTAAAAGGCTTTCACATAAAATTACATCTCAACTCGAATTAAAAACTCGAATCAACGAAATTTTCTCTTCAACTCAAGTTCATAAACTCAAATTCAAGTTAATAAATATTTTTTTTATTCTTATAAATGTCATAACTTTTTTGTTTTAATTCTGATTGAGATGATTTTTTTTTCTATGCATTCACAACGAAAAGACGAATAAAATATCACCCATATATTTTATTAAAAATTTTTCATTACTATTGAGTTTTTATTAAAATACTATCTAAATACAAATTTAAATTTTGATCCATTCAAACACAAACTCAAAAAGATTTTCAATTTAAATCATGACTCAAATATGCACATTGAAATACAAACTCAAATTATAACTTAAACTCAACTTAAAATTATTACTCAAATCACCATAACTCAAAAATGTAAAAGAACAACCTCTGAGATTTTGATTGAACAAATAAGGAAAATTAGAGATTGCGTCACTGGTTAGACTCGCAAAAAGATGGACAAATAGAGAGTAAAATAAATGGTTAAAAAAGAAAAAATATATACATATATATATATAATAAGTAAGTTTTTTCAATAAGATTGGGTCTGTTAATAACTATTAAATTTAGTTAAAATTAAGTCAGATTAAAAAAAATTCAATAATGTACAATTTTTTATGCGTAGTTCTATTTTTTAGGACGTATGAGAAAAACATAAAAGGGTGATTTTATTATTATTATTTTGATAAAATTTACATTTAATTAAAAAAAATATGTTAGTAATATATAATTTTTTATACATATAGGAGGAATGAGAATATAGACCATTTTTTAGGATGTATAGTAAAAACTCTATAGATAAGGGGGTGATTTTATTGATATTAATTATTTTTTTAATGTAGAATACCGGAATAGCCCGTGACACGAATGCCAACAAAATATTGCGTTACGGCACTTAAAGGCAGTCACGTGCCTAACCCTATCCTTTTTGCTGGATCAGATTTTTCTATTATTGCCTGTTTTTTTCCTCTTTTTGCCTAGGATTGTCAATTATTATACAACACGTTTGCCAACGGCCCATTATAGGTAGGGGTGGCAAGTTGTGTTAATAAATTGTGTCAATGTTAACTCATTTATTAATTGTGTTAGAAAATATTAATTTAAATATAATTTATTTATTAAATATGTTAAAAATATCAACTCAAATACGACTTATTTATTAATTATATTAACCGTGTCAACCCGTAAAACCAGTTTAAGGGCCCGTTCACTTCGTTGATTCGAGTTTGTAATTCGAGTTTAAATGTGATTTTGTGTAAGAGCTTTTTACTGTAGTAAAAAAGTTAGATGTGACTGTTTCTGAGAGCTTTTTACTGTAGCAAAACTCGAATCGACGAAATAAACAGGGCCTAAATTAATATATTGAATAAATAACTAATATAATGACTTATTTATCACGGTCTTACATGTTTAACATGTTTATTAGTCAATTTATCTTTTCTTTTAAGAAAAATAAATGACTTTCACCTACAAATATTAAAATTCACATTATTTGTATTTAATATGTCATATAAACTTTCATGTTATATCACATATCATTAGATTGCATATGATACATATAGTTAATCGTGTCAATTCATGTCAATTCGTGTCACTTCGTGTTAGAGGTCAACCCTAACCCAACCAAATTATTAATCGTGTTAATCGTGATCTAAACTCATTTATAGTAAACCCAAACTCGCACAAAGTTAGCGGGTTTCGAATCGTGTCGTCGTGCCGCTACTTGAATTGTCAACCCTAATTATAGGCCTATGAACAACGCTAATTTAATGTACAAGCCATTTTCAGGTTAAAATTCAAGTTTTATTTTTTGTAACTAGTGATTAAGATTTATTTATTATGAGATTAGTGTTAAAATTATGTTAAACCTTTATATTTTATTTATTTTTTACGAGCATTCTAAGAGAAGTGAGTTAGATGAGATTAATTTAAAATTTAAATTAATAAAGTGAGTTTTTTAAAAATAGAAATAAATGTAAAATTTGAGGAACATTAAATAAATGTAAATTTCAAGGAACATAAATAAAAATAAATTTTTGTTTAAGTGAAAAGAAAAAAAAAAGATTTTTATAACACGATATGAAAAATAGATAAGTCACAATTCTAATATTACATTTACAAATATCAAAATCATATCATATTAAGAATTAAATTTATATATATGATTTTCCTAAACATAGTGAAAATCTACCGGTGAATACTAATGAGATCTTTTTTATATCTCCTTCATAAAAAAAAGAGAGAGAGAAAGATCTTTTTTATATCCTACCTAAAAATATTCTAACAAGAAAATGGCTTAACTTACCCTTAAAAGTATAAGCTTGAATATTTACTCTTAACTCTTGATTAATACATTTTTAACTAATTATTTATTTAACTGCAAATATATTAATTAAAAATAAATGATAAAAATTCAAACTTATGCATTCTAAAATATATTTGTCTTATTTTTGCTATTATAACGGCTGCAATGTCAAATATCCAAGTACTCACAATTTGATTCAAAAATGACAAGATCTAACTATAATAATAGAGTAGAAATACTATTCATGTGCACTCCGTCGTCATCTAAATTGCACCGTTTTGGTGCGGTTGGGCTTTCTAATTTCTTTTTTTCTTTTTTTTTTTACTTTTGGTTTTTTTTTTTTTTTTTTTGCCTTTTTATGTTTTGAGACAATCTCCAGTATGTCAACATACTAATAGGCCAAGTTTTATATATTTCAGATCTGCATAAAATCACGTAAAAATTAAAAAGTATGTATATCTAACGGTTAAAAAAATGTGACATACCGATACATCAGGCGTACCAGAGAATCTCCCTTATGTTTTTTTTTTCCTTTTCTTCAAAATTTTGTATTCTTCATACTTACCCTTCTTTTTAACGTTTTCTTTCATTTAGCTTAATTATTTTTTTTTTTCCAAAGGTTATCCTACTTAGATGTTTCTTTTTGGTAGTGTTTTAATATACTGTGTATTAAATATTATTCTCACAATTTCTTCCCGCACACAACTTTGACGTTTTTTTTTACTTTTGGTATTTTTTTTGGCTTTTTTATGTTCTCTTTTTTCTTTTTCTTTTCTTCCTCAAAATTTTATATTCTTCGCACTTACTTTTCTTTTTAACTTTTTTCTCATTTACCCAAATTAATTTTTTTGTTCTAAAAATTTATCATACTTAGATGTTTTTTTTCGGTAGTGCTCTAATATACTATGTATGAAAAGTTATTCTCACAAATTTCTTTGTCCCACTAAAATAAAATTTCAAAAATATACCCTAACCCTTTTTTTTTGCCGCCTTTTAGACCACTACTATCCTACAAATATAAAAAAGCCACCATAGCTCTACTATTCATTTTTTAGTCATCTAAAACAGGTCATTTTAATCCTTTATTTTTCTTTGGAAATGATTTTGGTTCTTTGCTTCTTTTGCCTTTTTTTCCTCTTTTTGTTTCATTTTTTTCGCTTTTCAAACACTTGAAATTAAAAAAAATTAATAAAACAATTTGTTAGTAGATAATCGAGATTATGGACCATTATATGTTACCTTTTTTCATTTTTATTGTAATCTTAATGCTAAATCCTATCTTATTCAAATAGTAAATGCTAACTATAAAACGGGTAAGTAAAAACTATAATGTTCATTTTCTGTGGTCGTTTACGCACCATTTTGATGCTTTTTTTTCCTCTCTCTCTTTTCAATGTTTTATTTATTTATTTATTTATTTTACTTTTTATCTCTTTCTTCTCTTTTTTAACACGTGTTGAATTCTAATTCTAATTCTAAGTCAATTAAAAAATAATATTTTGTTGTTCATCATATCATATGGTAGTTCTAAACAATGAGTTTTAGGTGCTTTATTTTTCTTTCATTTTTAACCCCTTTATTTTTTTTCTTTTGTTATTCTATAATTTATGTTCACCTTACAATGATTTTCATAACGATAAATTTTTAGGTGTTTTACTCTTTGTCATTTTATTTTTAAGTTTCAACTACTTTATTTATTTACTTTTTACTTTGTTATCTTATAATTAAGAATCTTTCATGTATTTTTGTAATTAGACATAACATTTTCACTTAAAATACTATTAAGTATTTATACTTCTTTAAAAAAAAAAAAGATTATGTGTCAAATTCTATATCTTGTCGTGAAATTAAGTGTAGAATCTTCATTAAAACAGATATATTGTCACTTAATATACACTTTTTTTTTATCTTTATATAAAAATATGTTTATTTATTTATTGTTATTTGTATTTCACGTCATAAAATCTTCAATTATAAATAAGCACATATCAAAACTAGTATTCATGAAAGAATGCTAGTAAACTAGTAATTAGATATTCTATGGCAGAGAAATCCCGAAATTCTATGAGAAATGGTGTAGGGTCAGACTTCCGAGTAATCGGAATCCTAGCTCACTAAGCACAAGGTTTGGCCCATGCCATGCCACCACGTTGTTACTTTTGTGTGTAAAAATAGCTGTGTAGGCCCCACTAAAAGCTGAAAATCGAAAAAGGAAAAGATAGAGAAAAAGTATAAGATCTTTTTTATAAATAAAATAAAATTAAAACACAATATATATATACATTTCATTCCATGCAATAGCTCGGGTGTCTTTGGCAGCGACGTGTCCATCCTTATCTCCCCTTATCTCCCCTTGTCTCCTGATGGGAAGTGGGCAGTGAACGAATCTATTAGAAAATTTACTCCCAAGAGTACATAA